AATCTGGTGGTAGCCACTGTGTGTGCGCTGAACCGTGGAGATCTCTAGGTCCTCGGTTCAAATCCCATCGCTGCCTCTCCTTGTGTTTCAGCTAGAGGGCTGAAATACAAGTTACATAGCGCACCGTCTTTCGGATGAGACGTTCGTTCCCGTGTGCATTTATGGCCCATGTGCACGTTAAAGAACACAGTACACTCTTCGGAAAAGAGTAGGGGATTGTCTCCTGGTGTACTGTCCAATCACCACCAGAAGGACCCCACTGGAAATAAGTCTTCTTCTAGACTTTTGTGGGCTATCCTTGGTGTTTACACCGAATAAATCCAATCCAATCTGCTGTCTGTGCACACTTATCTCTACTATTACATATATTTCATTACAAATATTAGGCCAAGTCAAAAAAAAAAGTAGTTTCTCCTCCTAATATTTTAGAAAAAAAAAAATTGAGGACAATTTTTTTTTACTCTGAGAGGGCAAATCCAAGATGGGAAACAGGTACTACTTTCCTATTTTTACCAAGTAGACACATTGAAAGCAAATAAAAGCACTAGATATGATTCATACCATATCTCCAATCACCAACAATTGAGATAGGAATTTTACAGATGTGAGTTTTTAGCACATTTCGTAAAAATACAGTAAAGGAAATTTAAAAAAACAAATTGGCGATTTAGAGAAAATGGATGCGCCACATGATGAGAAACTAGTAATTTTTTTCACTTTGCCTCATTTGTGATAAAAAATCTTGAAAATATTGAATTGCTCATTTAAAATCATTGAAAATCTTTGAGTTCATCCCCAGCCAATGTAAGGGCGACTTCAAATTATATTTTCATTTTCATTTTTTGATCTGTTCGGTTAATATTTACACCTCATCGTTTCATTTGGTTAAGACTTTACCTACAAAATAAGCTTGTGCTGAAGCAAGCTAATTGGTGAGAATAATATTTTTTGTTGTAATTTTCATTTGAAGGTTAACAACTCTTGCCTCGTAGGAGGTCGTGTGATCCTGTTGTGTTAATTGTCACGTTGGTTTGAGTGGGCCGTAGCACATCTGAACAATTAAAGCGGCTGATGAATCGCCTTCCCCATCCCATTTTTTTTTTTACATACAAGTACAAGTGAACCTTGCGGGTTACAGACTAAATTTAACAAAGATGGGTCCCTGATGTTTCATCATCCACATTTTAAGCAGTCTGTCTGAAATTTACTCTTTCTAGAATTATATCTTAAACATGAGTTATACATACAATTTACTTTTGCTGTTAAGTAGTGCAATCCCACATGATAAAAAACAAACCCACCAACTGAGCTGAAACCACAAGTGCTGAAACGATTCCAAGCTCACTGCATCCGGGTCCAAATTAGCATTCAATTTCACAAGAAGTTTCAGTTCTATGATGAAAATTAATTGCTTATACAGTAATCAAATTTTTATTAGGCACGATATGCTTACTCCTAATTCATATGCTTGACTTCATTTTGTTTGTAAATAGAGGGTGTCCTTTATTAAAAAGGACACACTTGATGGTAGAGATTACTTACTTACTTATGCTGTAGAGTATTATGTAAAAAATCCTATATTTCTATGTTATTAGCTTTCAAGTAGTGAAATCTTTCCTGCCATTTAACAAAATGTTTGTGGTAAAATGTCTGTAAATAATTAGAACCATCAACTTTTTAATCTGAAAGTTGATGAAAGTGGGCAAGATACTGTACAACATGTGGTTCTTTAAATCAGCAATTAAATTGTTTGCTTTGGGTTTTACTAATAACAACACAAGCTTATCTATATTTAACTACTTCGCAAGGAATCATTTGAAGTTCACATTCACTGAGTTGTCTTATCACAGAAATTGATGAATCTGCTTCTACTACAATTTGTTTTTTTTGTTTTTTAAAAAGAAATAAAGTTGAAATCACTCCCAAAATTATTCTCTATCAGATAAGCTAACCACTGATAGATTAGCTCAAATTTCCTCGTTAAAATTTAAATAACTGTGCTCTTCCAATGGACCATTCTCCTAAGCAGTTCCCCTTGGATATTGTTGCTACGATTGTTTGTGGGACTTTGCTCTCTTCTGATTGGTCAGTTTGAAGACTTGCGTGTATATTCCTGTTCTAGTTGGTCTGACATTTTTCTCTGTATCAATCAACAACCACCTTCTGCTTGTTTGTAAACTTATCAGTGATTACATCCTCATTGACGATTGCACCTCCTTTTATCTGTGGCCAATTCATTCTGCTGTTTTCATATAAATTATTAATTATGGTTTGCATCCGGGTCTTTGATCTAACTCCGGAAAATTTTATTCTCTGATTTTCTGAGAATCCTTGTCTGGCAGGCAAATCATATCTGGCAAACTTAAGAAGTGTCTCGTCTCCCCTTAATTTTGTTCAGACCACATCCCCCGACCAATTCTTTCTCAGAGTTCAATATTTGTTATTTTGAATTCCAGTTTATTATCTTTATTTAACTAGTTAGTGTAATTTGTTTGGTGTCATATAATAAAGTTCTCTGTGAGTTTATCCCCTGGGCCCCATGCTGGTCTCTGTCGGAAATTGTAAGAACCTCTGTTGGACGGCTTATATTCCCTCCCTCACTGAATAAAATCCTGACGTCATTATTGATTTCAAGATATTTTTGGACTCCACACTAAAATTAAAATTACCTGTACATCTCTAACAGCACCTTTGTGACCTTGCAGCGCTCGGACACAGGTCATCGTGTAGAGGTCCCATTCCTTGATTGAGGTGTCTCTAAAAAGATGAATTATGAAAACATATGAATCATGAATATTATAGGAAATAATACAATACAATGTGATGCTCATGATGCAACATTACGACAATGGCAATGAATGCTTGGTGTTATCAGAGGCGCTGTCAATTATTCATCTTTTAGATAACTATATATACAGTGGTATATCTAAGCCGGTCACTCCCTGCAACCTACAGTCATCAGCTGATACGATTCTATGAAGAATGATGATCCGTTCAGAGTGCCACAACAATCATGAGACAGCATCGCGCCCTCTAGTGCTCTAAAGGAGCAGAGTTGGATTTGTCGTGCGTGCTAAGTTCGCACGACTGTCATGTCATACAACGTGAACGCCCGGCTTTAAAGTGCTAGCAATTAAGTTGTCTTGTATCAGAAGTTACTCATAGTAACATTTTATTGAGTAAATAAACTCAATAATAATATTAATAAGGTTTATTTTTGTGTTTTGTGTCTCGTTGAAAGCTTTTCTACCAGATTTATAAATAAAAAAACATTGAACCTCTTCTACAATGCTCACCTTCTTAAAGACCTACAAAAATAATTTTATAATTGATAGCAATACTTTTGATTTCAAACAACTCAATGCTTCAACTCCCGATAGTTTGTATTACTTCCGATACTGATTTAAAGCCTCAAATCTCAAATAGCATCATCCTTATCAAAGAAAATCTTAAAACACGTCCCTCCCTACAAGGAATTTACCGCATAATATTAAAGGTCAGAGGATTTAACAATTTCACTCTGAAGTAATACTTTAAATCTGCTAACTATTCAAAGGTGGTGAAAAAAAGTGAAATAAATAGAACTAAATTAGAAATATCAACGTCTTTGGTATTAGCGGTCAATACAATGACCTCACAAACAATTACATTTTCCTCTCAGGTGTGCTTGCAAGGTGACCAAGCAGTTTCCTATTAAACAAATCTGCTTTATTTGGGGCTGCAAACTTGCACAGGTAAATGCGTTGACCTGTGGAAACAGTCACTGGGCATTATCAGTTCTCTGCACTACTTTTACAAGTGCTTGCCTACACATGGGTCACTTCTTTTGTTGTATTAGCGATACATATCCCAGTTATCAATAGTTCATATACAATAAAAATGTCACGCAATGCCATACGTAACAATTGCATGTTGAAGTAAAAAAAACATGCGGCAAGATTCAATTTTTATCTGATTACTTATCGACTTGCTGCTGAGTGCCTGCAGAAGACAATACTTACAAAAACAATCAAGTTAAAACAATACTACAAAAAGTCTTAACTTAAATCAATAGTTACATACAGTATTAGGCAAAACAAAAGAAGTTTGTCATCTGGGTTTTATGAAAATTAAGAATGAGGCCAGAATTTTCCCACAAATGACCGCCACTATTACACAGGGTCATACATATCGCCAGACCTCACTGTACACTGATTCTTTATGATAATAATATCTTGAGTTTCTGCAGGGATTTACAAGTATTCTACATATTTTGCTTTATTAATATATAAAACAAAATGTAGCCAAACAGTATATAAATAGGAAGTGAGAAATATTTTTCTTTTGAAGTTAAAAACTGCAAAATGGCAGGCATGTTTAGAGCCGACATTCAGTAATTCTCAATAGGTAAGCTGGCATAAAGATGGAATATGCCTACAGTGTGAAATAGGTAAATTTTCCATGAATAGCAATACAGTGTGGAACTGCAGCGGTAATCGTGCCACAGGGCAACAGATTTACTAATTATAAGTATGACACCACATTGTATCAACTTATGCTATTTTTCGAACAATAATAAGTCTGATTGAAAACAAAACCTATTAGTAAAGTGAAAACAGGTTTGTCTTGTGCAACAGGTAGCTCAATGCTTAATAGCTGCTTTGTAGATTTTAATGACAATTTTTCGGTTAATTTAACTTTGTTAGACTTCAGTAACTTGCAGACAGATTAAATTACAAATAATTGTGAATAATATACACAACTACAGTAATGTTATTGTAACATGAGATGTTATAGAATGCAATCACATGGAGTTATACATACAAATTCACAATTATGAACATGAACAACTACAACAACTCTCTCTACAGTAAACTATACACAATATAGCAGTTTTCTCCCAAAGTCTTTTTTGCTGTCAATTTTACCGGAAAAAATAACCGGCTGGTCAAGATTTTTTGTCTGTAAAATAAAAAAACCCCTCTGATTAGGCCTACTAGGTAGTCTAGGCTGGTCTATTTTCAATAAATGAACATCATTCCAGTCTATGCCTAGGCTAATGGCTGTATAGGTTATCTTTCAAGTCATAAAACCCCACTCAAAAGGGGTAATGCCTCATACTGTGCACTTAGCTGAATTTTCATGGACAAATTTACCAGTAAAAATGTTTCAATTGGTAAAACACATGATGATACATATTGCAATCACATGCAACAGGTATTGATGATACATACTGTATGCCGCAAAATAGAAATATTTCAACTTCATACTGAGCAAAAAAACAACCTGCAGCCTAGCCCTCTGGTTGCCATGTGTTAACCTTCAGGCTAATTAAATTATTCATTAACTTCAATAAACATTAACAAAACAATGGAAAGGTTTATAAATGTTAACAAACAATGAATATAATTAGTACATAATTGTGTCATACACAAAGTGTTGATCTATCAACGTCACAAATAAATCCCCAAATCAGTCAGACACAAGTGTGAGGTAAGCATTGACCTACTTAAATCACCTGGATAAATGTGTCTGGACACACTCAGCTTTATTAACTAGAAAGCTATTGTAGAAAACTGTGACATTTAGGCCTCCTACTTTCATTACGGACTTGCAAATCAATGTCTAGGTCTATAATGTAGACCGATTTATATAATATAATACATATTTCTATTGTTTCATTATTGTATGTTTAAAAATAATGTTTTATTCTTAAATAAAGTCAATTAATCTGTAAATCAATCATTAATCAATCAAACAATTAACCAATAAGTCAATCAATCTATCAATCAACCAATCAATCAATGGTCCAGTTGTTTGTACTGTTCAAATTAACAATCTTGTATATTGATAATTGATATCTTGTAACATCTGCTACAGTATTTATTATGCATACTAATGAGAAACAAAGAGAGGGGCTAGATGGGAACTAAAGGTACTAAAGAGAAGACTGAATGAGGGACTAACATGAAGATAGGAGAAGTAGGAGGATGAGTAAAGAATTGCAAAGCTTTAATATATATTAACTTTTAACAATTAATTTAAAACCATTTATCAATTTTGTGACTGAGTGTTTTTTTCCAATAAAATCAAAATAAAAGTTCATATAATGGAACCTTGGTGAGTACAGCGGAAACAGAGCATAAACTCAAAGCTGATCCTCTAGACAAATTTTCACCTTATTTCCTAGAAATGAAACAATAAACCACCTTGATAAAATTCTATAATTATTTGCGGCCGAGTAAGTTGGGACTGCGGGAAAACAAAATGAAAGTTGGCTGGTTTAACTCTTGACCAAATCCACTGAATAGAAAAAAAAAATGATGTTTTATAAAATATTATGATATACACTTTTAAAAAGCGATAAAATGCTGCATTGAATCTTGCATATCTACAACATGAAAACCACTGTACAGTAGCTGTAATTGAGGTTTCCTATGCAAATTATAATTTGGTCCACATTTAAATCTCTTGACCACAAAACCTTGAAAAAATAGTACATCATGAGTGCATATAGGGAGGTGGTGCAAATAAACATTCATTGGGGGACTGTGGTCATAGTCATAATGCCATCGCATAACAACATGAGAAAACTTCCTTGACATACGTGATCTCAGGTGTAGGAGCCTACGAGAGGTTAAGTAGCTATAGCCACCTTAACATCTATAAGGGTTAAAGATTGAACTTTTTTAATGATGAGCAAGATATGCAAATGAGTGAATGATAATTTTGATCCTGTGTTTTTCACTTCATTTACCTGATGAAAGTAGCTCAAGCTAGCGAAAGCTTGTGTCTCAATAATTTTCGTTAGTCTAAAGGAAGTGCTACTGTACTCATTTCATTTTTATTTTATGCTATAGACTAATACGGCTCCTACTTTTATTAAAAATAGTGACTGGTTTATAATAATAATGCTTCTCCATCAATCAATATTTCCACCAGCTTACATATTATTTCTTAGTTTTCAATTAATTTTTCTTCAACCATCAAGTAGTGCCACCTACATTCATCCTTCTATCCATCTACCCTTTTTTTTTTATAAGAACGAGTCAAATTTTGCCCAGACTCAGTGTTCTTATTTTTTCGCTAATATCAGGCTCAAAATATTCTTATTTTTTGTTTTTACAAACTTTTCAAACAAAGAAAATGATTATTCCTAAGCAATTTCAGCCTCAATATAAAAATGTGTTCTTATAAATAAAAAGTGTATTTATTTATTTGGTACCTTCCATTTATTCATATTTATTCACTCATTTATTCAATTATATATCTTTTTATGTTGGCTATCATAACAATGTTTTCGAAGACTATTACCTTTTTCATTTTTTTCCCATGTTAATATATTATTAACACAAACTAAACACAGCATACTCATGTATGCAGTTGTCAATATTAACTATCAAACAAGTATGTGAGGAATTATGGGTAGCTTTGCAATCTACCTACCATTTAGTAAGTGTATAGGATGTGACACAATACAGAGAACATTGGAATTTTGACAGAACTTTCTGCAGATGCCATTGTCAATTTCATACGCCAGCAACTTTTTAATTGATGTATCCTCCTTGGCATGATGTTTGGAAACAAGGACAAACAGGAATGTCTCTGACAGGAGGCATTCGTACACGTGACAACCTATCACTGGTCGCTTTTGATTATATTATTCCTAGTGTTTGGGTTTGTGCAAGGCGCTGACCCCAGAGCCTCAATGCTGTTCCTGTTACCAAACCTTTAAAAGCGTCCAGCGTCGCCAGTGTTGAACGGACGAGCAGGAAATT